CCCCAAAACCCCAAAACCCCATATACTAGTAGACCAAGCGAGTAAGAGAATCAATATTAAAAAATGAGAAATATTTGCAAAATAATTCTTTTCTCTTTTCCTATAATTACCATTTAAATGAAGGGTGATGACGACAATACAATATGTACTCTGCTTATTTTGATTAAATATTTTAGGTGATACTCCTTATGAGTATAAATTTGACGTAGGCTTCTGCAGAAGTAAGAATTAATTAGATAAATTTATAATCTTTCTAGAATGCTAAGGGGATATTTTTGGCTGCCTAAAATGCTAATTTACTGATATTGGAATCATTAAATACGTAGAGTGCCTATAATGCTAAGATGGGCTGTATCTTCTTAAAAATTAAACTGGAGTGAATAGTAGTTTATACCCAAACTATCTTTCATTTTGTGTACCTGATTGCTAGTTAGCTGGATATTAATATGTGAATAACCCGGTAACTGGAAAATGCTAATCATGCGGAAATCATTGCAAATCCTGCAACATTAATTATGGCTGTGAAACTTGTATTCCTGAAGGTTAATCGCAGGGATGGGTTAATGCAATTGAACAAAGCATTTCTTCAGGATTCTATAAGTGTTAAGGTAAATATAATGACTAGGAAAATCTTTCATATTTCAAATTCAATTCTTTCTATGATTTACCTACTAAATATAGAATGCAAAAATAATAAATGGTGTTGAGAATGTTAAAGTACAAATTAAAATACTTGTAGTCAGTGCACGTTGCCATTTTAAGACACATCACTTTCACAATTTGGTTAAAGTTATAGTTGTGTTGAGAATCAGCCTTAGATTTACATGGATAATTGTTTGCAAGCATCATTTTAAGATCCATCTATTTGCTCAGTTTGTGATGATGCATTTTATCTAAACTAGTTTGGCTATTGTAGCAAATGTGAAGTTAAAAATTGCAGAAACTGTGATACCTCTGAATCAACTTGTTAAGAGTGCCAATAAGGCTACACATTATACAATAATAAATGCTATGGTAAGAATTAATCCCATTATATACTATACAGATTGTAACATCCTTATTGGGAGTGATGAAATATTAAATTACTACCCATAATGTTCAAGCTGCGAAACTACTAATGGAGTTATAGTTAATACAGACTGTAAAAGTTGTACCAATGGATTTATCTTTTAGAATAACTGTCTATCTCAGTGCCCTTCAGGGTACTATGGATACAAAGAGTTCACTACTCGTGGTGAATTATATATTTCTGAATGCAGATGTAATTTAGATTTAATAAGATGATTTTAGTATGCCACGATAACTGCAAAGAATGTGTAGGGGAACTTGAAACTGAATGTATCAGATGTCCATATGAGACTTATCTCAGTAAAAGTGACATAAAAGTTTCTTTCGGTGAATGTATTACGAAACCTTATTCTACTTTCCAAGTTAATATTTATGTTGCAGCCCCATCATCAAAAGATTTTTAATCTTAAGATTCTGACGGCTCAATACTTAATCCATTTTATGATATAAGAGATGCTTTGATTAAAATGTATGAAGATTGTGCTGATGTTTAAGAAAAATGTAAAGTAAATATTTATTTGATGGCTGGGACTCATTACGTGCTAAGGAATTAATAAAATTCTTATAAACCCCTAAATTATGATGATTAATCACAGAATGTGCAACTTAATATTTAGCCGTTATATTGTTCAGGTTACTCTTATTGCTTAACTACTGGAGATAAAGTTATAATCAAAAATAAGATAAGAGATCGTCTGAATATTAAAGTAGGTTAAGGTTTAACAATAACAAATGTGATAATAGATAGTTTAGATTCAATTGTTGGTAAGAATAATTTATTTATATTTCCTATATTAGATACAAGTGAGACTGCCTCTTGCCTTTCTGATATCCTAGATTGTTGTTAAATTGATAGTTTGACAAACTTAATTAAAGATAAGATCATAGGTAATAGTATCTGCTAACCAGCCAATCAAAGATTGTAAGTTTACATATCAGTCAGAAAATTCTAATTTAATTTATAGAACTGAGGAGTGCAATATTGCAAGTGGTGGATATTTCATTAAATTTGACATTTCTAGCAATACTGTCCTGAATTCCCCTCCAACTTTAATCATAAATGTATTTTAGATAGATTTTTATAAGCAAATATTTAGAACTGTGAATTCAAGAATTTTATCTTTAACTTCAATTCATTAATTGAAACTAATCCAAATGGAGGACACATTAATATAACGAATTCTATTTTTGATAGATTTACCTCATGCGGTGCTATTATTAGAAATTTCAGACGAGAATATGTCCCTTATTATGAGGACGCTGATTAGCTCTACAGAAATCATTGGTACCGCCAAAATAACATAGTAGCTGATATCTATGAAAGAATTTACTTTGAAGAAAACAACCTTGGCACCTATTGTACATCCAATTGTGAGAGCTTAATTATTAATAGCACAACTTTTAGCAATTTCGGAAGAGATTTTACCAAGATCGATACTATAGTCGATATTAATCCTGCTTTGGGACTTCATAAATAAGCTAGAATAGTAAATCTGAATAATTTTAGAGGATTAGTAAAAATAGAGAACTCCATTTTTGAAGGAAATATTCTCGGATATAATGGAGGATGTAGCATTCACTATTAAGATTAAAGTTATAAAAATAAGAAAGATAATGATGATTATTTTGTGTATTACTGGTCTAATAATCAATATTGGAGTAACTACATATAGCTGAAGAGTTTAATTACTATTGAATATCAATAGGGGAGTATTTAAATTCTAAACAATATTTTCAAGGGTAACTCAGTCATTAAGGGTTTGATCTATATTGATGGAGATTATATTACACCTAACTATTTAGAACAGGATATAATGATTTAAGGGAATTAATTTAATTAGAACTTTGCTTACTTATCAACTTTAGCAATATATATTAGAAGATATGATCCAAACTTTGAAGATCATGATATAATTAATTCTAATTATATACCTTGCAGTGGAATAATTATTAACGAAAACCATTTTGAAAAAAATTTCGGATGCCCTTTGTATGGGGGTGGTTTGATAACTATAGATTGCTAATAAGAATCATATTATGATGAATTGGATAATTCCTATCCATTAGATGTCAATAACAGATATACACCAGACGGTATTTTGGAACTTAAAAATACTCATATTACATTAGATGATGGAATATAAGATTTAAAAAAGATAGAACTAAGTGATAATTTCTACTAGTAAAACTTTGCGTCTTATGATGAAGGGTTGATTACTTTAAGAGGGATTTTACTAGTATATATGCAAAATGAAACATTCAACTCAAACGGAGAAAATGTTATGGAAACATTCCAAGTATATTAGAATTATACAGATTCAAAAAGTTTTATCGTCAACCTTTATGATAGTGATCCAAAATACTTTTAAAACTATTTAAGCATAATCTATTATGTTTAGAATCAATTTTAAGAACTTGTTTCTTCCCAGAAACCTACCTATTATAATATGTAAGGGCTTATCTTAGCAGCGTATTGCCTTTATTTAAAAATAGATGGTGCTTTTGTTTCTGATAATTTCTTGTTTGAATATGATGTCAATATTAATAAAGGATCATTTATAACAATGGATCATTTTGAAGGAATAATTGAAATAAATAATTCTTAAATTTACAATTTCTACAGTAAGCTTAACTAACTTTAATTTTTCATTTTAGGTTTCTTGAGAAATCTATTCATTTATGAATAAGGATATGATGTTGGAGAAATTAACCTAGATTAGACTACACCTATTATAGGAGCAAATAAAGAATCTAAAATGGTAGGATTTTACATGCACAATACCGTGCTAGATACATTTTATTTTACATTGTACAATCATTAACAAATAGGTTTTATTTTTTTTGGAGGGTAAGATTTCAATAATCTTTATTCATTAATATAGTTAATCCCGATTAAAATTTTTTGTCATGGATAATGTGACTCTATCGAATTTTCAGAGTTTCTGCTATAAATATCATTCTTACTTTTCTTTAAAAGCAGAAATTGTTTACCTTTCCAACATTCATGCAAAGGACATCAACAATGGTCAAGACTTTTTTACTTATATAGATGAAGAAGATTTTAATGGTCAAATGTTCCAGCTTGACATTTCTGATTCATCAGATAGTCAATTTATTCTAAGTAATTCAACATTTGATTCAGTTGATGGTAATTCGGGTTCTATTCTAAATCTTACGATGGCTAGCAGTGCTGTTAATCTAATAATTGCAGATACTACATTTAAAAATATCAGAACTGTATTCGGAGGACTTATAAATATTTTTAGCGGGAATCATTCCAAACTTACTCTAAAAAATTGTTCATTTGAAGAAACTTTATCTATCACCAATGGTAATATACTAGCAAAATATAATAATTATTTTAGGAGGAGTCATATCTTTGAATCCGATTTGGGACTATTCATAAATGAAGAATACATCTCTTTCTCAATTAACTATTGATAGCTGCAATTTTACAAATAACTACTAAGCAATAGATTACTATTTTGAATACGATGAGTTATATTATTACTACAAACACTTTTATACTCGTAGTGGTTACCTAATATTCATTAATTAAAAGGATTGGATGAAATTTGTAATTAGAAATAGCTAGGTAATTTAAAGAGGAAATAGTTCAATGTCCTATGAATTTGATACTTACTATGTTGAGGAATTAAGCTATGAATCAAATTATTAAGCTTCAGGTTAGAGAAATTATGGAAGTGCAATATCTATCAATACATTAGACAATTAACTTGAAGTATATTCTGAGAACAATCATTATGAGGGATGTAGATTTGCATAGCAAGGAGGAGTCTTTTATATTGTTTCTGATAATAAAGTAACTTTTACAGAGACAAACTCTACTTATCTAAATATATAAGGAATTATAGGAGGTGTAATTTACTGCCTTAACTGTAATAAATTCGAATTAAATGATGCAAATTTCCAATACATCTAATCGTATCAGGGTGGACTTTTCTATTTTATTTAATCAAGTATAATCGGCCTAGATATTATCATTAAAACAACAGAAACATCTGACTTAATTGCTTTTGATAATGGCGGAATGCTTCTGTTTAATGGAAATTAGTCTCTTATTTCTATATACGTTGAAGAATCTAATTTTACTAATATCTAGTCCGTAACAATGTATGAATCTTTTTAGATAGGAGACACTAGCTCACTATAAACCTATCATGGGGGAACAATATTCCATCTTTAAAGTGATTCAACAATATTTTCAGCTTTGAAATGTCGTTTCGAGGATATATTGAGTCTCAGGTATGGTGGAATAATCTTGATTGGATCATAAAATCGGGCAGATATTAGCTTTGTCTAAAGCACTATTTTTAATGTAAAAGCTAACTTTGGTGGTTCAATTATTTATTCAAGAAATAAAAATGGCCGTATTAATTTGATATTGGAAAAAAATAACGTATAATGCCTTGAAGATCCATATGATTTAACAGGTGAAATGTAGGATTTCTTTGAAAATTAAAATGAAGAAAAATCATACAGACATGCTATCTAATGCTATGCAATGCTATAATCTACTCTAAATTCCAATGAAAACACATTTAAAAATTGCGCCTAAAAACTTTAAAAAGTTTGGAATTTAGATTAAGAATATAAATGGACGATAACATCTGGCGGGGTATACAATCTTTAAACTTAAAGTTCATTTGTTGTTAAAGATAAATATTCTTTGTATGAAAATAATTCGGCAGAATAAGGATCAATCTATTATTGCTAGAATTGTGATTTAACTATATCAAACAATGTTTATCTAAACAACTATTGTTTTGAAGGCTGTATTGTTTATTCAAACATGTTTCAATTAGTGACGGATATCAAAAGTTCCAGATTTGAAGATAATTTAGCTCTCTTTTAAGGTGCAATTATATTACAACATCACAATATAAAATTTCAAGGTGGTTAGGACATTTACATTGAAGATTGTGAATTTACAACAGACATGGAGAAATATTGGTACTTCCAGCCTTATTAGAGCTATTCAAACCAAGAAGTTACTTCTGGTTTGCTATTTGATATTAAACAAATAATAACATTTGTCATTAAAGATAGTAAGATAATGTACCTGAATAATTTTAATGAAAATTATGGTACGACCCCAAACATGTATTAATTTATCTATTGCTATTCTGCTGATTAATTCTACATGACTAATACAAAGATACTTGGTGATCTTGATCCATATGATTCAGGAATATTTCAAATATTAGGCGATCTATAAGTTTCATATAATTTTGAAGGGCTTATTTTTCTGGACAATCCTAGCTCTGTTTCACTTATAAAAAATATATTCTAGTATATTTTCTTGAACAATTATGGAGCAATATATGTCATAAAATGCTAAGATTTTTCTGACTCTGAATCAATCTATTCTCTTAATGCTGCTATGAATGGGGCAGCAATGGTATTGTAATTTGTTACAGGAAACCTGGAATAAATCTCTTTTTCTGATAATACAGCTTAGTACGGAGGAGCTCTTTAGCTACTAGATGAATCTGAAATTTAAATAGATTCTTCATATTTTGAATATAATTGGGCATATTATGATGCTGGTGTCATACTCTAGAAAAGATACATCCCAACTTATAAGAAGAGCTCAAAACTCTAAATTTAAGATTGTGAATTCTACTACAATCATGCAAATGAAGATGGAGGAGTGCTTAAACTAGATGAAAAATATCTTGATTTAACAATAGAGTATTCAACTTTTGAGCTATCTTCAGCAGACTCTGGAGGAGTAATTTTTGGGCAGTTGTTTAACTCGATATTATTGCAAGAGAATATTATAACAGAATCTTCCTCTAGTGAAGGCTAAATTTTAACTTCTATTTCAAAAGGCTCAGAAATTTAAATGATAGGAAATTAATTCACTTGTAGTGAAACATTTAACTCAGCAGATATATAAACTAATCTGAAAGATTCAAATCTACCACAGCATAATAGTGCCTTTTAGCTACAGAATTTGAAACAAGCTTATTCTGAAAGCAATAAATACTCTAAATGTTATGACGCTTATTCAGGAGGAGTTATAAATTTGTTTAATTCTTATTTCGATGAAGATGGCTCAACCTATGAATGTATAATTTTTAATAATGACCTTTTTAGATAATTCAGCCTAATTCGGAGGAGTTTTTTCAGTTTCTCAATCAAATTTAACATTAAGGAATGCAATTTTAAGATATAATATAGCTAATGATGGTGGAGTTATTTCTATTGATAATAAAGGCAAACTAAATGCTACTGGATGCAGTTTCTTAGATAATTAAGCTGTCCAAAAAGGAGGAGTGATAAATTTAGTTACTAAATCACACTTCTATATTTCAGATTCCAAGTTTATTAGTAATATTGCTGTTGAAAATTCAATTCTCAATGTCCTAGAATCAGATGAAGTAAATTGACTAAATGATTTTATATTTTTAGAGCTAAGAAATCACATTTTACAATTGCTAATTTCAACGAAATGAAGCAACTAGAAATGGAATGTCATTTATGTTTGCACATTACGCAAGAATTGAAAACTGCTATTTTTAGCACAATAATGCTATTGAAAACTCAAAGAATATTTTTGTTGGCTTTTCAAATTTGACTATTATTAATACGAAGTTTCTTGATTCTGCGAGGTAATGTAATTAAGCTAATATTTTTAGAGGTATATTAAGTTAAAGTGATTAAGCTAAATCCTAAAATATTAAAGGATCATTTATAAACTCAATTTTAAATGCTAACATCACAATTATTAATTCACAATTTCAAGATGGATTCTCTTAAAATGGAGGGGCTATATATGTTTCAGGAGGTAAAATAAGTTTTTATTTATATTTAACAGATTCATAACTTAATATCACTGGTTCAAAGTTTGATGGCTGTTTCGCACTATTATCAGGAGGAGCAATATACAGTTTTGGCTTTTCTAAAATTTCAATAAATTAAACAAGATTTTAAAGCAACTACGCAATTTAGTATGGAGGAGATTTATTTGCATAAGACTCTTCGATTAAGTTAGAAATTAACTCTACTTCAATTCTTAATACTGAT